CCCCCCCCCCAAAAAAAAAAAAATCAAAAAGCACACTAAAACCCCCAGTAACTATTGGAATTGTAGAAAACCCTGAATAAGTTTTCGTGTTTTGCAGATGACCCCCATGTCGGTGTAAGTCCCCATTTTGCCCTTTGGATATGTTTCCATAATATTTTGGCCGTGAATTTTGTTTCGCGATAGAAAAGGAGCAAGGGACGAAATTCGGCAGAGTACTCCCGTTTTATAAGTATGAATTAAATGACTAAATCATTGACAGAAATGAAAGATTCATAAAATCTTTATTTAACAAAGGCATATGATGCATCTATTACAGAAAGACTTTGAGAATAAACATGATTAACAAAGGAAAGAGTTACCTAGTAATCTTCGTATTACCGAAAATTATTGAGTATTTCTTACTTATTAGATAAACAAGCCTGCTTTGCGTCTGGGTTAATGACCCTATGCAAAAGAGAAGGGAAAAAAAATTCATGTACCAATTAGATGACCATACACAACCCATCTGACACACTATAACCATGAACACCTTAGCGATTGACATAACCACACACAACCCATTTGCCACCCTATAACCATGAACTCCTTACCAATCTAGATAACCACACACAATCAATTGCCTAACCCTATAACAATGAACTCTTTACCAATTTAGATAACCACATCACACATCAACCAAAACCTTAATTTGATGGATTGGTCTACAATGTGCATTGATCAAGTAATTTTAACACTTAAACAAATACCACACCTCGATCTTGATATGACCGTCATGGCATCACTCAAAATTATTAATTGAGAACTAATGTAACATTCGCGGATTGAAATTCTTTCCTCTCCGAGCCATGCACAACATCCTTTTGATGGGTCATGCACATTCTTTTATCAGCAATATCACTTGACTTGCATTCTCTCCATTGTTAATCACCTGCTTATAAGATTATTCATCCTTATCGTTCTCCTTGTGTTCGCAACCTGCATATAGATAATAATGACATCTCAATCTTGCTTCTGTTTCAGATGTTATAATTCTTCCATTGCATTTATCTGTAAAGGACCATTATCAAAAATAAAGTGATATCTCCTGAGTCCATCTATTCTCATTTCTTCCGGTGTGGTGTCTTTTCTGCAGGATGCACAGAACTTGAAGAAGATGAAACGTAACAGTAAAATTGGGAAGGAAATTGTCTCTGCGTAAGTTCATCGAGCCTGCACTCTCTGCAAGGCTTATAAAGTTTGATATAAAGGGCTGCTGAACATTAACACTCATGAGAATCTTTGAAGTCTATGAATACGTGGACTGTAAGTCAGAGCTTTGAGATTGAATGAGCACAGCATTATATTTTGATAATAAAGTTCATGAAACTGCCAGGTTGAGGTGGTCTATGTGGAAATCAGTATGCTAGAATAATATACAAAGTTATCTTCTCCGACTGAATATAACTGGTTGTCTTTAGTAATAAGTTGCAGGCAGTTTCAGTACAGGAAAAGATGAGAACTATTGGTTGTTTATTTGTTCATGTGTAATGAGAATTGATGACTCCGTCAGTTATTAAGATCGAAAGGGTCAACTGAAAGAGATGCTTCCATACCACCTGGATTATGTTTGTTAAAATTTAAAGGGAAATAACAGGAGAGAAGGAATACGGAACACATGAATCTGGTGTAAAAGCGTTATTATTGTTGTCATATCCTCTTGTATTGTCTGCATATAATGGCTGCTAAATGGCAATGGTAGGGAAGTAGTATTTTAAATAGTTGTTTTCAGAATTTAATGAGCATGTCATCAATTATTTTTAAACGACGTTGTAGCTTCTCAAAGTTATATCTGATTGCGTTAGAGATATTTGTGTTTTAAAATTTTGTATGTTTCTATCTTCCTTAATTTCTAGTATTTGTGCAAGTGGTATCAATAGTATTCTATTTATCACGCAGCATTAAGAAAGGTGGCACAAACCCAACATCAAACACAATTTTAGCTGCTGTGCTAGAGAAAGCTAGAGAACTTGATGTGCCTAAGGAAATTGTGGATAGAAACATCAAAAAAGCTTCAGAGAAGGGACAAGAGGATTTTATTGACAAGTTCTATGAGGTAAGTTTAGTGTTATAGTTCTCAAATTGATGCTTTTATTATCCTTTACTTTGAAGGCTTGGTAAAAGTTTCCAAATGGTAATTATGCTGGGTATTGCTAAGTAGGTATATGGTTTTGGTGGGGTTGGCATGGTAGTTGCGGCCTCAACAGATAAAGTAACTAGAACCATTGCTGATGTTAGGGGTGTGGTAAAGGATTGTGGAGCAAAGCTGGCTGATCCAGGATCCATCTTATTCAAGTTTAGGCGAGCACGAGTTGTGAATGTAAAGGCTATTGATGCTGATAAAGATCAGATTCTTGGTATTGCTTTAGACGCTGGTGCTGAAGATGTGATTGAGCCTACGGTTTATGATGATGATTCAGTAGAAGATCGTTCAGAAAGGTCTTATTCTATCTTATTATCTCAAGCAATGAATTTGCGAATTTATTTTTCTCTCGAATATTTTTCTCATTCATGTGTCTTCAAGTATTCTATTAACTTGAGAACAAATGGGCACTGACCTTATAATGATTAATAAGATATGCAGTTAATCAGTTTGGCATGTAAAAGCTAGTCTCTTTTTTCCTTCCAGAATAACATGTTTTACCATAAGTAAAAGCAAATGAATCAATCTCATATATCCATTACACAATAACTCGTGTTACCTAAGAAAATGCTAATGGATGAATCCTATATATCCTCTAGCAGTTACTGTTTACTAGGTTTCTAGGATTTTTTAGCTTTATGAGTCCATTCCTCTCTGGTAATATTTACTTGTCATTTCTTCTATATTAATGAACTCAAACTGGGCATTCTGGTGCATTCGTGATTACCCACAACTGTGATTTTTCTGTGAGAGTTACTCTCTGGATTCGACGTTTATATATGTGGAATCAGCTATACAGGGTGAGAGATGAAGTCTAGTTTCAATGTATTTACATTGTATTAATCTAGAAAATAGTTCTGAAATTGCTGTCTTCAAATGGTTGGCAGCCCTTGATCTAGGGTTATAGAGTTCTTTAATTGACCTGCAATGTTCAATTATAGGTTTTATCTCCGGCTGCAATTATAAAATTTATGCACATGTCTGATTGCAATTTTGTTAGTGTATAGGATACCTCTTCTTTTGTACTATAAATGGACATCTTGGATGGACAGTACATGCATATGCATATAGGCAGGTAATATAATAGCCAAGCTTGCAATAAATTGTAGTCGATTATTAAGCTTTTTGTCTGCAATTGGCTGTAATATGTGTTGGAAAAGAGTAAAATCATAGACTCACACATGTTGGCTTTATGCCAATTCCATACACACTGATAAATGCGTCCATATACAGTTAGTAGTCAACCACCTAAATGCAATGGCTGACACAGGCATCAAGTGATCCTCAACATAGTTACACAGTATGTGCTACGTAGCGGGTCGTGGTACACAATTTGCCGTTTAGAAAATATGGATTCGATTGTCGGGGGGTGGGGGTTGGTGTAGCTTGCTTTGGTACGCAAGTTTGGTCATTAGCACGTTGTAAAATGTTTTTGGGATGTGCTTACCATTTTCCAAAGTGTATAGTAGAAACATAGAAACTAGAAAGCTAATTATGCATTTCAATATTTTTCATATAAAATACTCAAATGCTTCTCTTTTTATGGAGTTTATTCTTTTGTTCTGTTTCTCTTTTCACATAGTTTGTGTTGGGATCATGACTTCATTTCACGTTTAATTAACAGAGGTATTTAGTCATTGTAAAGACATTGGCTCATATATTCTATTGTGTGTCTCCCTTTACTCAATTGTGTACATTGCAAACTATGATCCTCAGTCATCTTATTTATCTTTTAGAATGTGCCTTAAACTTCAAAAGTGACTTTTCTGATAGTGGTTCATTTTAAACAAATATAAAATTGTATCTTTTGCAGAACAATATACCTAGAATTCACCCTTGAACTTCAAAATTCCTGTTCCGACTGTTGATTCATTTTGCAGCTACTATAAAATTGTAAGTCCTGCAGAAAACTACTCGGATATACTAACTAAATTGCGAGAGCAAGGAGTTGCTTTTGAGCCGGATAATGGTTTTGAGCTATTGCCACTGAATGCCATTGAGGTATGAGCATTGTTATTCATTTCTTCTCTTGGCGTCTTCTCCACATTATCCATTATTTATTTTAGTGGCTGTCTGCAGTAGCAGTTTTTTTCATGTATGGTCTCGGACTTTCAGTACTGGTCTTACGTTTCATATTTGCCTTCTAAATTAGCTGTATCATGAACTTATTGCAAGCATTATAGATGATGCTTAAAAAGTGATCCTGATATGATCTCTTCTCACCTTAATTCTATATAGATCCATTTTTAGTGAAATTTGTTCAAGAGCAACGACTAAGAAGTCTACTTAATGCTATGATATTTTTGGTTCGTAGCTTCATAGAATGCATTCTTTAACTCTTTTATATGATTCAGTTAAAATTCTTTTACTGGATTATTATCATCATTCATCTAGATATTATCATCATTCATCTAGATGTGAATTCTTAATACATAATATTAGCCATTACATGCCTCATAAACTTGGTAATTATTATGCTGATGGTGCACTGAACGACCAGTTCTCTTCTTACATGCCTCATCCTACACTAGTAACACTACTCGTTACTTCTCATTTTCTTTCATGGTTTATCAAACCATTTTTTTATTCCACCAACTAGATTTAAGATTCACAGCATCTCTTGTTTAAAGAAAATATGTTCTCTGTTGTCACCTTCAACAGGTAGATGACGAGGCCGTGGATCTGAATAAGGACCTTATGTCCAAATTACTGGAGCTTGATGATGTTGATGCTGTTTATTCAGATCAAAAGTGAGAAATGAGTAGGTTTCACAATCAGGTAAAGTTTCCGGCGATTGAAATACTTGTTCTTTTTATAGTCTAGTCTTTTTATAATGGAGAATATTGAAGTTTGCATCGTGCGCATACTTGGGAGCATTATTATAATTCTCATAGGAAAAGTGATTAGTATGTATTTGCTAACAAATTTATTTTTCTATACTAATCACTTGGTTCCCTGTTCTTTTCCTTTGTAAACAGGTAACATGAGGTGATGGTGAGAAAACTATATGCGCAAAATTACTGGATAGAATAAGTGGTTTGGTCCCCATTTTGACATTGAAAGCGATAGTAAAGAGGATGCCTCTTATTTACAAAATTTGTATTTCTTTTTGACATTATGAGCGATTAATAGTTCAGCACTCATACATCAATGGGAACTTTGTATTCTCGTGAATATTTGGTCCATATTGTTTCAGTGTTTTGCTACAACCACCAATTTATTGTTGGCAAGAGTTCAAATTTTGTCTGATATGTTGTTTATCATTTATAATTTTCGTGGCCTTCTTGGCTGAGATTGTTAGAATATCATAACATGCATTCAATTTATATTAAGAAAACATTAAAGACCGTGAAGGACTAATTTGTTTGCCTGCTGATTACATCTCAACTTAATTCCTTGAAAACGTATGAATCGTGCGTACGTTTCTATATAATTAATATATCATGCTCTCCGTGAATGACTCATTTCATTTTTACTCAAGATTATTATATTATATTATATATATATATATATAATCTTTGGTAAACACCACCTTAGTGGCAGTGAATGATAAATACTGATAATGGCATAAACATTGAGCTTAAAATAAAAAGCTTTCATTTATGGGAGAAAGCTGGTCAAAAGTGATTACAATCGGCACAAATATCTCAGAAACGCATCGACGAAAATTTCATTCCAGGATATTTCCCCAATTCCTACCTTTCCTGAAATCATATCGATCCGTTGCATGCCTCTGTGTCTTGATATAAACTTGAAGTGCTACCTTTGTTACGCAAAAGAACAAAAAGCTACACCTTCTCTATCAATTAAGCTGGGCGCGAGTACTAAAATAGTACAAAGAGACAGCAGTTACCTCCTCAAAGAACAAAACTAGCTTGGTACCATAACAAGGTAGCAATTTCCTTGTGGCTTGAAATGAGATCTCTTACTGAGATAATACACAGGGTGAACTAATTTATTTCTCTCTATACTGCATCTACAACAGTTTTGGCATAAGAACGGATCAAAACTTTATAGAACCTCTCCCCACATTGCCCTACAAATTCCTCATTCAAATAAGTCGCTGAGCTGATTAACCCTTCATTTGCAGATACTCTTGAAACAAGGCATTAGAAGCAGACCATAGATCCCTTCCAAGCTTTGCATTGTAGGAAATCGAAGATGACTGAATCGTCCTGCCCTTACCACCGAAGAAATATTTCCCCGAGACTTCCTAAAACAAAAAAATATTTTATCTCTTTTAAAAGGATATCAAAACCGAGGGAAGTGCAAGGGAGTTGAAATCAGTAAACGAGGAAAGGCTGGCATACAAGAGGAGCAAGAGCTGCATCGACAATTGAACGAACTCCATCCTCAGGAGATTGCAGGAGAAACAAGCATCTTAGAATCGTAAAAGCCAGCTGAGAAAGACACTGGGGAAGTTCACGCATAATTCTGGTTTCCACTGCTCCAGGATCAGCAAAGCTAACACACAAACAATGCTTATAGTACACAGAAAGAAACAAAAAAGGGTTTTTCTCATATTAGACCCCAAATTCCGTCCTGTTTTATAGCAGCTTCCCAAAATCATCATATTTGTAAATCTAACCCCACCCCCAACCCTCTCCCCCCCCCCCCAAAAAAAAAAAATGACACTCACCTCCCCCCACCACCGCACCCCACCCCCACCCAAAAAAAAGGGGGGTGGGGGTGGGGGTGGATTGGGAAAAATAGCAAGATGAATATAATAGTATAGAGCATCGTGTGTATTTGTTTGATACGTACTTGACAGAGATGGTAGAAGATGAATCCACCGCATGAAGTTGCCGATGCAGCTCATATGAGAAAAGAAGCAAATACACTGCCAAATAAATAATGATATTTAGATACAAGGTATCTGAATATGTTATATAGCTATATATCACGGATTTGACTTACATTTGGAATATTCATAAATGCGAGCCCAAGGATATTTTCCTGCGGTTGGCAGGCAAACTAGAGTTTTCTGATCCACCTTTATATCAAACACTACCCACAACAAAATAAGGACTAGTAATATATAAAGAAGAATTGACAAAATTTTCATAAGACTGTAAAGACAGATCTAAATTTACTCACCAGATCGATGTGTAAAAGATGTCACATTGACTATCCGAGAAGCTACAGGGCTGTTCTTGAGTAGTGGCAAAAGCAGTTTTGTGAGAAAAAATGCACCCATGTAATTTGTCTGCATCATCCTGCAAGTAAATAAATTAGCATGTAATTCTAGTGCCTTTGGAAATAGGCATCTAACTCTAATACTAAATATGAGACACGATGCAACTACTGGATGGTATTACATGACTTACATGTCAAATATGGATACAATAAGCAAACAATAGTGTCACATGAAAACTAATGCAGAACTGAAGGCCCAAGACGCTGAAAAACGATTATAATCCACATTTGGGTGTTTGGCAGGTGGATTATTTTGGATTGTCATCCACTAAAAAATATCATCCACCAAAATGTAAGTTAGTCCATAAAGTTTGACCAAGTAAAAGACAAATTTACCCACCATCCCCAAATGATTTCACACATCTCCAAGCCTATTTATTAACTTGCTCACCACCAAGCCCTTTTTGGTCATTTTGACAACTATGATAGATTATAATCCACCCATTTGTCAAATATAAAGTTTGAAAACGGATTATAATCCACTAAATTTATCAAAAACCTTGGACTATAATCCAACCACAAATGGATTATAATCCATAGTTCCCAAACATGCGTACTTTCAAATTCACATGATGACAATGCAATGTATTGAAGATATAGTGCACCAAAATTGCATTTCAGAAGAGAAATTCAGTGGGGTGAATAAATCCAGAAAAGCAAAGATACACTGTGGTTATGGTCCAAAAACAATACTCAGCGTGCAACATCAAAGAATGCAGAAAACAGTGTCATGTGTTAAAAAAATCCCAACCAACTCATAGATTCTTTAATTCTACGTCATTAAATATAATTAGATTGCTCAAATCTTGTGCAGGAAACAAGGAAGTACCAAACCAACTATATTCACTCTCCACTAGTTCTCATAATATTTACTTGTTAGTTACCCCTATTTATGGTTATCTAGAACCTTTAGCTGATGATCTCTCCAAATAATGTGAAGGGTCTAAAATTTCATGCTACTAAACCTACTTTGTAATCAATAAATCTACTAGACAGTTATCCTATCATGGATAGATAGAGAGAGACAGAGAGGGAAGAAAAAAACATAGGAAAGACGATGAATCGTTGAGCATTTTTGGTTTTTCTTTCTTTTTGCAGTAACTCGTCGTTTGTGTCAAGATTGGTGGCTGCCTTTTTTTTGTCAACAAAGACAGCCATCGAAAGCAAGGGAGCAAGGGTCAAAAAAAGTGAAGGAGGATGATTGACAGTCCACAATTTGTGGTCTGATTATGGAGGCTATAAAAGAAACCCTGCTCTCCCTTTACTTTTAATCCTCATCTGCTGAGTGTATTCAATACTTTTGAGTGTTCTTGAGAAGAGAGGCAAAATCAGAGAGTGATTTTGTGAGGAAAATTTCTGGAGATAATTTTTTCTTGTGAGTTGTGTAAAAACACTTATAAATTTTCTCCCCTTAGTGAAAAAACTACAGCGGACCGTAGACGTAGGCAATTTTGTGTCGAACCACGTTACATTTGTGTTGTTATTCCGCTTCATTCTTTCACTTTCCTGCTAATCTGGTGATAGAAAATCTTGTGTTGTACAATTTTTACCCAACAACTGGTATCAGAGCTCTGGTTGTGACGTCTGTTAATTTTCTGCGAAATTACAATTCACGTGAATAGTGAAATTTTGTCGACGATACTGGTTCGTCGACAGCAGTGTTCTAATACATGGTGGTTCGCAGAAACAGTCAAAAACAATCCAAAGGGTGCCAGATTCAAGTGAGAGCGATGGCTGCAGATGAAGGGAATGTAAAAATTAAGAAGTTCGATAGTGCGGACTTCGGCTTTTTGGATGATGCAGATCGAAGATTATCTGTACCAGAAAAAACTGTATATACCTCTCTTAGGAAATAAGTCAGATGACATGAAGGATGAAGAGTGGGCTCTTCTCGACAGACAAGCTCTTCGAGTTATCCCGCAACGTTGCTTTCAACATAGCAAAGAAAAAGACCACGACGGGTCTTATGACGGCTCTCTGCAGCATGTATGAGAAGCCCTCTGCCTCAAACAAAGTTCGTTTGATGAGACGGCTGTTCAATTTGCAGATGACAAAAAGCGCATCGGTAGCTCAACATCTCAATAAACTCAATACAGTCACATCCGAGTTAAGTTCAGTTAGAATTGAGTTTGATAAAGAAATACGAGCATTGATACTTTTGTCTTCTCTACTAGAAAGTTGGAATGCTACTGTCACAGTTGTGAGTAGCTCGTCGGGAAGCAATAAGTTAAAATTTGATGATGTTCGTGATCTGATTCTCAGTGAAGAAATTCGACGGAGAGAATCGGGTGAAACATCAACCTCCTCAGCCTTACACACAGAGTCTAGGGGGAGATCTTCAAAATAAAGTTCAAATCGCGACGGATCAAAATCTAGATAGAGCAAATCTAGATCGGGAAAGAAAGATTTCAACTGCTATAATTATGATAAGAAGGGTCGTTTCAAGAGGGAGTGCCGGACACCGAAGAAAAATACCGACACATAGGAGTCTGCCAACGTGATCGAGGAAGGAGGTGATGCTATGATTTTAAGCGTCAACAGTCCGATTGAATCATGGATTCTTGATTCAGGGGCATCCTTCCATGCCATCCCATTTCGAGAAATCATGGAGAACTACGTCAACAGTGATTTCGGAAAGATACATCTAGTAGATGATGAAACCCTAAAGATAGTTGGTAAGGGAGACATCTGATTAAAATTTCCAAATCAGACTATGTGAAAGCTGTAAGGAGTGAGACATATTCCTGACCTTAAAAAAAATTTGATCTTTGTGGGGCAGCTAGATGGAGAGGGTTACTGTACAATCTTCTCAGGTCATGAATGGAAGATTACCAAAGGAGCACTCGTTATTGCTCGAGGAAAGAAAACTGGTACTCTCTATGTAACCTCTAACTTAGAGAATATTATTGCAGTAACAGATGCAGATGAAAAATCAAACCTATGACACCAAAAGCTTGACCATATGAGCGAGAAATGGATGAAGACACTTATGTCAAAAGCGAAGTTGCCGGATTTGAAGAATGTAGATGTCGGCCTATGCAAGAATTGCATCTTTGACAAACAGAAGAAAGTCAGTTTTGCAAAGATTGACAAGACACCCAAGACAGAAAAATTAGAGTTGGTTCATACCGATGTATGGGGGTCATCTCTAGTTCCATCTCTTACAAACTCACTGTATTATGTCACCTTCATTGATGATTCTACAAGGAATGTGTGGGTCTATTTTCTGAAGAAGAAATCAGAAGTCTTTGATACCTTCAAAAAATGAAAGGCCATGGTGAAAAATAAAATTGATTTGAAGATAAAGCAGTTTGAGGTCAGACAATGGAGGAGAGTACAAAGACAGTAGATTCAAAGAATTTTGCGCAAACAACGGGATCAAGATGAAGAAAATAGTTCCCATGACACCACAATAAAATGGCATAGCGGAACACATGAACAGAACTTTGAATGAACGTGCCAGAAGCATGAGGACACATGTCGGCTTGCCCAAGTTCCTATGGGCTGAAGCTATCAATACCACAGCCTACCTAATCAACGGCGGGCCATCAGTTCCCTTGGGCGATGGAGTAACAGAAGAAGCTTGGAGCAGAAAAAAGATAAACATTTCGCATTTAAGAGTTTTTGGTTGTATCTCTTATGTACACATAGATTCTGCTGAAAGAAGTAAACTTGATGCTAAATCTAATAGATGTGTTTTTATTGGTTATGGTGGTGACGAGTTTGGTTACCGGTTTTGGGATTATGAAAATCAGAAGATCATCAGAAACAGAGATTTCATATTCAATGAGAATGTGATGTACAAAGACAGATCAATTGCAGAATCAAGTAACTCAAGAACAAAAGCTAAAATAAAGGAATTTGCTGAATTTGAGAAGATTTCTGAAAATGATGCTTAGACTAATTCTGAAGTAGTTCAAGAAGAACCAAGCACGCCAGAAGTGAGACGCTCCTCCAGAATTCCTAAGCCAATCCAATGTTATTCACCTTCTTTGCACTACTTGTTGCTGACTGACAGTGGTGAATCGGAGTGTTATGATGAAACAATGCAAGTGGAGGATCCAATCAAGTGGGAGTCTGCTATGTAAGATGAGATGGATTCACTTATGTCAAATCAGACGTGAGACTTAGCTGAAATACCACCAGGTAAGAAAGCTCTTCATAACAAGTGGATTTACAGGATCAAAGAAGAGCACTATGGGAACACACGCTACAAGGCAAGATTGGTTGTCAAAGGTTTTCAGCAAAAAGAAGGTATTGACTATAATAAAATTCTCTCTGGTCGTGAAACTAACTACAATCAGACTGGCGTTTAAAATTATAGTTGTTGAGAATTTACATCTTGAGCAGTTAGATGTAAAAATAACTTTCTTTCATGGTGATCTGAAGGAGGAGATCTATATGAAGCAACCAGAATGTTTCATAAAGACAGGCAAGAAAAATCTAGTATGCCGTTTGAAGAATAGCTTGTATGGATTAAAACAAGCTCTCAGGCAATGGTACAAGAAGTTTGACAGTTTTATGGGCAGCAACGGTTTTACTAGATGCCAAGCAGATTATTGTTGCTATCTCAAGAGGTTTGACAATAGCGTCATTATTTTATTATTATATATTAATGACATGCTCGTTGTAGGTTCAGATCTGCAAGAGATTATAAATTTGAAGTAAAAATTATCAAAACAGTTCGCAATGAAAGATATTGGCGCTGCAAAGCAGATTCTTAGAATGAGGATCAAGAGAGACATGAAGTCTGAGACTTTGATGTTATCACAGGCTGAGTACATCAACAAAGTACTCTTCAGGTTCAATATGCAAGATGTTAAACCACCTTTAGGTGTTCATTTTAGATTTTCTAAAGAGCAATCACCAAAACCATAGGAGAGCGTGCACACGTGGCGAAGGTCCCATACACCTCAGTAATTGAAGTCTGATGTATGTCATGGTTGTACAAGACCAGATATTGCTCAAGCAGTGAGAGATGTTAGCAGGTACATGAATAATCTGGGCAAGATACATTAGGAAACAGTCAAATGGATCCTCAGATATCTACGGAACACCACAGATAAAACACTTTGTTTCAAATGTGGAGATACAATACTAACAGGTTATGTGGATGCTGATTTAGCAGGAAATGTTGATATCAGAAGGAGTACTACGGGGTATGTCTATACTTTAGGAGGTACTGCAGTAAGTTGGGTTTCTCAACTGCAGAAGATAGTTACTCTCTCCACAACTGAAGCAGAATATATCGCTGTTACAAAAGCCAGTAAGGAAGTGGTTTGGCTTCAAAGTTTCTTGGATCAATTAGGCAAGAAACAAGAAGACAATGTCTTATATTACGACAGTCAAAGTGCTATTCATCTAGCAAAGAATCCGTCTTTTCATTCCAGAACGAAACACATACAGGTACGGTATCATTTTATCTGGTCACTTCTGAAAGATGGAATTTTAAAACTTGAAAAGGTTAGGAGCTCAAAATCCGATAGACATGCTGACAAAGACGGTGACTACTGACAAAGTGAAGTTGTGTTCAGTTTCAGTTAGCCTGCAATAGTATCAAGATCGGGGAAGAGCTGCTGCATAAATTGAGATATGAAGACAGATTAAAATCAGTCTTCAAGTGAGAGATTGTCAAGATTGGTGGCTGTCTTTTTTATCAACAAAGACAGCCACCGAAAGTAGGGGAGCAATGGTCAAAAAAAGGGAAGGGTGGATGATTGACAGTTCACAATTTGTGACCTGATTTGTGCGTATGGAGGCTATAAAAACCTCCCTGCTCTCCCTTTACTTTTAATCCTCATCTGCTTAGTGTATTCAATCCTTCTGAGTGTTCTTGAGAAGAGAGGCAAAATTAGAGAGTGGTTGTGAGGAAAAATTCTAGAGATAATTTTTTCTTGTGAGATGTGTGTAAAAACACTTGTAAATTTTCTCCTCTTAGTGAAAGATCTGCAGCAGCCTGTGGACGTAAGCAATTTTGTGCCGAACCACGTTAAATTTATATGTTGTTATTCCGCTTTATTCTTTCACTTTCCTGCTAATCTGGTGATAGGGAAATCTTGTGTTGTACAATTTTTACCCAATAGTTTGGTATGCGGAAATTAGTGGGAATGGAATGCAATTCCAACTTCTAATTGATGCTTACCAAACATTATGTGTTTTTTAGATGCTAGAAATGTCGTTCCCAATTCCCATCAATTCCCACTTAATATGAGAATTGCTATTCGCAATGAGTTATTAAGGAATTGCTATTCTCACTTAAGTGAGAATGAAAATAATGAAATAAATTTCAAATATACCCTTCTTAAAGATATTCCTACTTAATTCTCTAATCACACCCAAACATGAGAATGGAAATGAGCATTCCATTCCCATATCAATTCCATTGAGCATTCCATTCCCACATCAATTTTATTCCACTCCTATCTTCATTCCATTCTCACATGACTTCATTCCCGCATACCAAGCATGGCGTAAACTGAATGGGCGCTTCAATCAACATTGCCATGACACATGGTTTTATGCTTATAAACATATAAAGCATGAAGACACAAATTATACAATGCTTAAGAAATTCATAAGAAAGAATTTGATTATATATGGATCTAATAACTGAAGAATTTGATTATATATGGATCTAATAACTGAAAGGCTATCATAAACCCCTAAAAGATAAGCTTAATGCAAACACCGACTTCTTGAAAGAATTGATTATATATGGATCTAATAACTGAAAGGCTATCATAAACCCCTACAAGATAAGCTTAATGCAAACACCAACTTCTTGAAAGAATGAGAGATTTACTGGTCGTATCCATCAGCAGTAGTTCGACATGATATTGCAAATATTCCAGCATTGTTTATTAATAGTTGTACTGAAGGATGCAGATTTGACTCTGAAAGCCATTGTTTAAGGGAACTTTCAAACTTCATAATTGAAGGAAAGGATGCCAAGTCAACCTGGAACGCTTTTAGTTTGGCATCCTTGTGTTTCTGCTTGATCTCTTGAATTGTCTGTTTAACATTTGGAGCAAAATCATTTCTTTAAAAAATAAATAAATTACTCAAATGCATGAGGAAATTTTTACTTTTAACTTTGAGATGTACCTGATCTAGCAGCTGAGATGAACGACCAACTGCAAATAAATGAGCAATTCAATGTTATAAAACTTAATTTTGCATTTAAAAAAAAGAGAGAGAAACATACAAAAATCAAACCAAGCTTGAAGCTCCACTAGTTTATTTGCAAGGTTCACATAATAAAAGTAAATACTAATAGCTATTAGCAACACTAGGCATTTTTCAAGTGGAGCTTACATGGTAGTATAGGCTAGAGACCACAGTACTTATGTTTATAGTAATGCTCACAATCTACATAACATATAGTTCATAATTTCATTTCAATTATCTACTACATTATCATATTTCCTCTGATTTTCTGAGACATTGTGTGCCTGCATATTCATATTGTATCATACGTGATATCTGGAACCTATTTAATATTTGAAACGGACAATTTAACTGGTAAAATTTAAGATTCTTTTAAAATTCTTAGATAAAAATCAGAATACCCCATTTAGAACATAAAAAAGGTTATGTGCACTCTCTAACATCCTAAAGTTTTACCCTTCTAAACTTTGATACCCTGAAGCTTTATTTAGACAATTTGATATTGCAAAGTGCAAAAAGTTGATAATAATTTATTTAGGCTACTTAGCATTTAAATACCTTATAGTTTCCTCTAGTTTGCACTTATATACCCTCAGTTGTTTTTGGCATCACGAATATACCTTAAAGTAGTCAAAATTTTCACTTTAATACCTTCAATTATGCAAAAGAGAGTTTTTCCTCGAAAATTGCCACATACACTAATATGCTTATCATATTGTTAAATTTACTATTAAACAAACTTTAATTCTATTTTAAATCCACTTCAGTTCTATCTGAAAATTGAATTTGAATAGGTTTAACAGAATCTATAAAAATAAGGGTTTAAAAAGTTCTAAAATTAACAGGCAACAAGAGAATTTTCGGAGAAATATTCTCACATTTGCATAACCTAAGGTATCAAAGGGCAACTTTTTAAAACTTTATATAAGTGATGCCAAAAACAAATGAGAATATATCAGTGCAAATTATGGGAAACTATAAGGTATTTAAGTGCTAATTAACCTTTTTTTAAAGAATAACACAATGAGAAGTGTATGAGAAACAATTTTCTTACCAAATGAGTAACAAAAGTTAAAAAGTTTTGGAGTATCAAATTGTCAAATTAACATCAATTAAAAAACTTTGTGAAAATGGTCAAATTAGAACTTCACAGTATCAAATTCAAAAAAGCGTGAAGCTTTTTTAGTAGTAAAAAAAATACAACTACCCAAAAAAGTTTAAGTATAAAGAGGATACAGATTTACCATCAATAAAGTATAATGGTTTTTCATGTTCATAATATCATCAATCAAGTAGGTGCATTTTCTAAATTGTAATTTTTAATATTAAAACACATGCAGGCAAGTTGTTTGCTGAAATGCGTAAAAGAAAATCAAGTAACAAAAACACTAACCAAGAACAACATGATAGGCCTCAGCAGCGAGAGCTTGGGCCGCAGCCGCGCCCAAGCCTGATGTCGCTCCGGTAACGATGCAAATGGGCTGCTTGATCTCTGATTCTGGGTCCAAAGAGAGGCGGCATCGAGGATAAGAGGACGATGAAGACGAGTGAAGGAAGAAAGGGAATAAATGAGAGGCAAAGAGGCAGAAGTAGGAGTAGATAAGAGATAGGGGCCAATGTATTGCCATCCTCCAAATCTCTTGGGAATAGAGCATCTTCATGGCTGTTGACCAATCTGTAGCCATTTTCATCTATTGTTCTGTAGAAAGAAGAAGAAAAGAAGGATCTTTTTTATTTTTTATTCTGGGTCGAATCATATTAATGTATACGGAGCTTAGTTCATTTCGCAGAGGAAGAAAACTTTAAAATAGATCAATTCACAAATCTAATTATGAATATCGATCGACTTGATATTTACTTATCAAAATCGACCAACTTTCAGCCACGTGGACGACATGTGCGGAAAAGTTGGTCGATTTTAAGAAAAAAATTTGTGCTCTACGAGATTACCAATCTGATAGAATTATTGGCCTACATTGATCACATGGGATCGTCAATCACGGGTGATTAGTACAGTTTAACCTTTACGGGATTGGCGATCCCTTTGGGCTCGTTTGGTACATGGGTAAAGAAAATGGAGTTACGATTTAACATGCTAATTATTACTCTATAATAGTTAGAGGGGAAAGGTTCTTTTTCATTCCTATGTTTAGTATAGCCTATCAAAGAGGGGTAACGTTTAACCTGTTAAGTTTTAACCTTGTTTGGTATAGTCTATCAAAAAGGATACATTTAACTTAGTAGTGTGACAATTTTCATTTGAACTTTATATAAATGCTAGAATATGGGATTGTTTATGCAAATATTTTCATTTGAACATTTATGCAAATATTTCCCTGATTTAATCATACTGAAAGCTAAAATCAACTCCCTATGTCTCTATTACCACAAAATAAATATGGATTTATCCCAATATCTCAAATTCCCAACTCTACTTGGTCTCACATGAAAACCAATAAGACTTCACCCACACAAAAAGAAGTTTCCTTTTACAACCAAAGCATATCAAAATATATCATTTTTAGTCCAAATCAATCAAAACTCGATGCGTAATTCCAACATGCAAGACTAGCACAAGATCAGCTATCAAATAAGAACTTAACCATTTGAGCAAACATCAGCATGAGCTCAAACAACACAAAACCATCAAATGAAGTTCAACATTAAACACATTTCATAATATATATGAACCCAAATACTGAAGCAATAGAGTACTAAATATAGCAACAAATAACATCATCCTTGATGCTCAAGAGTAGAAACAATCATAATAGAGATCATACTATATATAACTAACATAATAACTCCTAGACAAAACATATTAAATATCTTGATAATCTATTTCTTCCATATTCTTACACTCGCCCTCTTCATCAATTGTCGCATACCGATACTACCCAATGATCAATTGTAAAAATCACATTTCTCATCAACATCCTTCGATTGACGAAATAACATGACATCTTCTTCGGACATCTCCCTCATCAACCTCAACATATCCATCCTAGAAAGAACACAAACTTCACCCAATTCATCACGAAATCCTTTCTTAACATTCCTATCACCTCTATACCCTCTATAAGCAGCCACTAGTTCTGCATTCTGCTTCTCGTTACTTTTCACAATCATTTCCATCTCGTTCTTAAATTCTAATTGAAGCTTATTGATTTCTCTATCCTTCTGGGCCACTTTTTGCTATTTACCTTCTTTTCGAAAGTACATCAGAAGCCCCATCCTTTTGTTTGCTAGAAATATCATAAGTAGCGAGAGTTTTATTCACTATAGAAGCAGATGAGGTATCATTGCTACTGATGTCCTGATCATCTGGATCGGCAGCACATGCAGAATTAGCTGTGGTGGCCCTATCCTTAGCATAAATTTCTTCCATTGCATCGAATAGAGGAGAGGGCTTTCTGTATGTTCCACCTGCTTCTTTATCGAATGGTCTTTAATAAGAACAATATCATTATCGACCACTTGCACAAAATCTGTCATGAAAACTACAATGCAGCCACAAATATGACAAAATATTCATGAACTCTAACTTCTAGCTATGTGGATAAACTAACCATCTTATCAATCACATATTGGGTGCAACGAGCTATATAAATTTTGCGTCCAATCAACATTTAGACCACAATATTAAAATAATAATAATAATAATAATAATAATAATAATAATAATAATAATTCTTAAAGGTTATCAAATCTCAAACTAGTTCCTATTTATTTGGAGGATCATGTGCATGATAAGTAACTAACTTACTAACACAGCTAGAATATAACTGAGGAAGGTTTAAATTACTTCAGTATCTAACTTCTGTTGATTTCTTTTCGGAGCTAGAGAAGGTTTAGTTAGTTATAATTGGCTAAAAGGATGTTGTAACTGTTTGTATATGTAGCAAAACGAAAATTAAATAAAGAAAGAAAAATAAAAATGCTAGTAATGTCTAAAGGGGCATGAATACTAATATCGTTCACATGATTTTAGATAGCAATCATCTGCTGCTTGCTAAATAGCATTTCTTGTAATCAAGAAGTTCATATAGTTTATCCTATTTAGGATATACTTATCATCAATGAATGTAGATAACTAAACATGAAATTGACCTCGGTTTTGATAATAAAAAATTCATGTGAACTTATCGAGTTGCATCTACTAATGCAGGCTGTCTAAAAAACTAGAAACCATGAGATAGAGAAATTCGTCACCAATAAAAAATCTAATGTCAAACTGCTTGAAAGTTCAAACCGTTATCTTGAAAGCAAATATCTCTGGTGCTCTTGTTCACACTTCTGACAATCTGATACTTAATGCAGTAAAATTGTAAATGGCACATAATTCTACTTATGCATACTTTTCTCTGATTATGCTATAGCAACTTCATTGGTGCAAAATAGTACGTAGAATATTCAAAAGATAACATGCTCTGCAGATATCAACATGAAAGGCTAACTACTTTATTTGCTGTGTTTGGATGCTCTGGAAACAATACTAACAATGCATCTTGACTTTGCAGATAAGAAGAAATGCACCAATAACTTCTAGGAAAGGATGGGTTTCGAGTTTCTTCCTCCTTTACTTATGTGTTTTCCTGAGTCTCGTTTCAAATAGAGGTTAGATTTCTTTACTTACATAGTAATTTCATTTTTCTACTAAGGACCTAATTGGCAAGACCTCTTCCTGTCTATTGAAGATACTATTCGCCATTAGAATTTGATCAAGTCAATCAACTAACATTGTGGTGTAATTCACTTTTTTTTTGTTGCTTGCTTTTGTCTATTTTGAAGTATGAAAATGTGAGTTTGAAAATTGCAGATAGCCGTGGAGACTTCAGAAACTGCGGACATCATTTATTTACATAAGACACATATAATCAAGGATGAATTTGAAGCTAATAGGTCAGTTGCTTGAGTTTGATTCTATTAACTGAAAGTGCAAATTTCCTTTTATTTGTAATTAGGCAAGAGAGGCTACAATCACAACAATGGATGCCTAATCCAAAAGTTATCAACTTTTACTAAAGTCGTGAAAATAAACAACTATCCATGAAAGAGTGCATGATATGGTTATAAAACAATTTATAACAATGGATAACAAAAATCGAAATGCAAAAATATCAAGTGTCGATAAAAAAAATTCTAAGGAGAGCATTTCATCAAACACTTAGCAAGCAAAACCTAATTGAAGATCACATGGGCGGATTTTGATACTTTGGTGCGATTTCAAGGTGAACTCGGCAATGGCCTTGGCTTTCTCTCTTAGATCAAAATCGACCTCTGATTTTTCAAAATAAAGGTAAAAATTAATGAAAGGAAGAGAGAGAGAGAGAGAGAGAGAGAGAGAGAGAGAGAGATGAGGGTTACCTTGAGTTTGAGGCGGTAGTGGCGACGGCGGCGGGGGAGATGAAGGAGATTCGAGAGATCCGAGAGAGATCGAGGGAGAGAGATCCGAGAGAGGTCCAGGGAGAGCGATCTCGAGATCGAGATCGAGATCGAGATCGAGATGAGAGAGAGAGAGAGAGCGATGAGAACGATCGCCGTGCCGGCCGCCGGCCGGGCGTGTTTTGTTTGTTTTGCGGTTTTTAGATATTAGTCCCTTACATCTTCAATAATGGCATGTTAATCGGACAAATTTTTAAAACCGACCCATTCGAACATTTAATTGTAAAAAACGACCCGTTTTCAAGATATTTGTAAAAACCGACCTGGTTTCAGCCCTGACGCTGAAACCAGGTCGGTTTTTGTAAAAAATCTTTTAAAACTTCACGGGAGTTCAACTCCCGTGAAGTTTAGCAGAAGATTAGCAGAGGAATTAAACTTCACGGGAGATGAACTCCCGTGAAGTTGCCATCATTCATTATTAAATCTCTCCGCTTCATTCCCACAGCCAGAGCCGTCACTGTAAACTTCTTCCTCCCATCCTTCTCCCTAAAATAAAAAATCAGCATGTCCTACAAAGCCAGCCCAATCTCCTCAGCACCAACCGCCAGGTCAACGTCGCTAGCCGAAACCCCCCTACGTCCCCAACCTGCAGGTGTCCTGCTCACTGGAATCGGCCATGGGCGGCGGCGCCGGCGGAGCGTCGAGCTCAATGGCGTCGTCTCCGATGAAGGCGGCACGCGCGGCGGCAATGATGGTGGCGGATGCTGAGGTGATGTTTTGGGACGGGAAGCTTGAGAGGAGGGAGACAGATTTTACCAATGGGGTTTTTTTTGTTGAATTTTGTTTGATTTATTTGAGATGCCATGAATTTGGATCTTTTGCCCTAACAAAATTCGACATGGCCATGGCATCTTTCTCAATCTCAACTCCCTTTAACCTCAGCATTCCCTCAAAATCTCACACGATTCTACTTCTTCTTTTTAATTTTTGAGGAGTTCTTGAAGTTGAGGTTGAGGAGAGCTTTGATGTCTAAATCTGAGGAGGAAGAGGAAGCTACAGGGAGATGCTGGTGGAGGAGGAGGTGTATTTTTTGATTATTTTTAATTTTTCTTGTTCGGATTTGGAGAAAGAGCGAAGAGCAACGGGAGTTGAATAAGTTCACGGGAGTTCAAAACTTCACGGGAGTTCAGCTCCCGTGAAGTTTAGCAGACTAATAATTTGTCTGCTAAACTTCACGGGAGTTCAACTCCCGTGAAGTTTCGGAAGAATTTTTTCAAAAACCGACCTCGTTTCAGCGTCAGGGCTGAAACCAGGTCGGTTTTTACAAATATCTTAAAAACGGGTCGTTTTTTGCAATTAAATGTTCAAATGGGTCGGTTTTGAAAATTTGTCCCATGTTAATCCCTTAAACGTAGGATTTGAGAGACAAAGATGCGACTTCCTAGTTTTGAGGGACTAATTTGTAATTATTAAAGATTTGAGGGACTAATATGAAATTATTAAATATTTAACTAATATCTTAAAAAACCCTTTTTCACTAGGGTAAGTTAGGGTCCGTTCGTTTCGCAAAAAAAACTTGGAAATTAAAGAATAGGAAACCTATTTCCTATAATAATTGTTTTGAGGTTGTTTGGTTGGGTTAAAAAAGAAGGAAATTATAGAATAGGAGATGATATGAGATGAGTTGTCACCTTATTATTGGATGATGTGAGTGATTTTTTAAAAAAACTTGTTTTGAGGTTGTTTGGTTGGTTAAAAAAATAAGGAAATGAATTGGAAGTATATTATTGGATGATGTTTTGAGGTTGTTTGTGTTTGGTTCATTTTTAAAAATAAGGAAATAGATGAGATGAGATGAGTTGGATGTATATTATTGGATAATGTGACACATACTTAAGGAAATTAATTTCTTGTTTTTTTTTTGAGGAAATGGATGGAAAGGAAGGTTTAATGAGATGAGATGAGTTGTCACAATATTATTGGATGATGTAGGCGTCAAAAAAATGCTAATAGATATGCGAGACAGTTTTGAAATGGTCAGAAACCACCTTGAACAACTGCCACACACGTCCATTAACTGCTAAAGAACATGGGGAACGTCGTGGGCGAGAATCACGTGGACAACTGCCAAAATAACGGAGTTTGAAACGTGGAAAGACAGTTAAAACAAAAACTGCTTGTGGTTACTGTTTCCGAGATAGTATTTACTGTCTCGCGGGCCAAGACAGCAAACACTGTCTCGCCCAGCGAGACAGTAAACACTGTCTTGCCAGGTTAATTTCGTTGTTTGTTGAGTTTTTTCAGTTATGAACCCCAGAGGCTATAAATACCCCCCTAGGGTAACTACTGACGAGGATCGAGCATATTTTCGAGCAATCCAGAGCAGAGAGAGCAGATTTGAATTTTCATGCAACTCCTTAAAATTAAGCTTTGACTTGATTTTAAAAAGAACGACTATCTTACTTTGATAAGATATCGTTTCAAGTTCTCACTTCGATAAACGAAGTCAGAATCATTAAACCCTCTTCACGATCTGTGATTCGGCGGTCAACGAGCCAAAGCACTTACGGCACAGGTAAAGTCCCACAAAACAGGAGTTGATAGACAATTTCTGTGTTATTTTCTCGAAAGTTGTATTTTCATTTATTTTCATTATAATTTCGTGTAAACAAATTAAAGTTTAATGGAATCAACAATGGAGTCAACTTTCGCTGAAAACAAACTGGCGACCACAGTGGGAGCCAGCGGCCTCGCTGCCGAGGCCGCGGTGTCGCAATGAAGAGATCGAATATGAATTCGATCAAGCAAAGTTTGAGGAATATTTATCATCCTCATCTGCGAAATCTTCCTCGTCTCGCAAATATAGGAAGATTTCACCTTTCAAGAAAACTTTCAAGTCTGCAATTCCAACGGAGACCGCAGGCGAAGATTCCTGCCCGACTGCTGCTAAGGAATCTCCTTGCGACATCCCTGCTCAAAACGACTCTACACCCGTTACGGAGTCGTTGATCAATAGCTCACCGGTGCTGACGAAGAGAGCTCGTCAGAGACAGCGCCAGCGCCGTGCTCGTCAATTGGCTAAGGCCATGCAACAAACCGACGGGGTCCATTACGGCTAAGGCCATGTAACAAACCGACGGGGTCCATTACTATGCGGACCTAGAGTCGATGAAACAGAAAATGACTCAGTTGCCTCAACGACAAGATAATTATATTTCTGCACAACTTACGACGGAGGAGTGGACTCTCGTCAAAAGGGCCCGTTCAACCCTTAAGGAACGGATACAAAGGCGTAAGGCGAAGGCCACTCGTGCTCGCGCTCTTCGTCAACAAGCACAAGAAACCAAGAAGGAAACGGTGTCTGAAAAGCCACCGAAGAACCGTAGAGTTTGGATGCCGAAGACGCCGCAAGCATCTGTTCCAGGTCCGTCTACTGCATCATCAGTGAAACCCTGGGTTAGCCCAGATTTGTCTAAGTTTAAGATCACCATGGAGGATCGCCTCGGTCCTTCGGCTGACGATCGAGGCAAAGCCCCAGTTAAAGAACCGTCAGATCCTGTAAATAAACCCGTAGTGGTTTCATATACAGGGGGTCGTAAACACCCTCCTGTCAAAACTGCACAAATCCAAAACGAGAGAATACCAGTCCACTCTCGTTTAGGACCTATGAAAACCCCACTTCCGCAAAGGGGTGGATTTAAAAATTCAACTTTGGATCGCCCAGAGGCGACGACCAGTCGTCCTGTGCATGTTAACAAAGTTCAAAGGCAAAAGATAGGTTGCTCGAATCACAATAATGATGAGCTATACTATCAGAAAGTTAACTCAAGAAAGAGGGTTGTCAGAGAAAACGAGTCTCATTGCGCTTGCGAGAGACTCATTAAAGCAGTGTTGACAGAATGCGGATGCTCTAAGAATAATTCAACAAGAGTCTCCGTATTTCAAAGATTGTCCAATGAAGCGTCAAGACCCAAAACAAGACGTTTCAACAAAAGGAAACCTGTAATCCGACAAGATGAGCTTCCTGAGGTCACTATCAACATGACCAATAAAGGAAAGCAAAAGTCAGATAACTACGACCCTGATTTCTCTCCGGGGGGTCTTTCTCAAAGGATGTCGCGGTTACAAAGAAGAGCCAACCTACGTCGAGATTACAAGAGAATGCACGAGGGGCTCTCTTCAGATGAAGAAATGTCAGATACTTGTTCCGCCATTGCATCGGACGATACCGCGTCCAGTGTTGGGCAAGTCAGAGAATCATTTGCAATCACACCGGATCAGCTGGCTCATATCCTGCAGGAGGCGTTGGCTAAACAACGCGAAGAAATTAGAGCTGAGTTCAAAACCAAAATGGAGTTGACTATGCAGCAGATGCGAGACTTGCAGGTTCAGCAACACCAACCGGAATCGAACCAGAAGGCGGAATCCAGTCGACGTAATGAAGAGGATGAGACTATCTTTGACGATCCTCCTCCAGATAAAGACAACTCCGGAAGCGGTCCGACCAAGTCATCCACTCAACCTCCACAGATCTACTTGAAGAAAAGCGAGGAAGAGGACAAGAAGATGCATGATCTCGAGAGCAAAGTCAACGCTCTGATGACGGCTCAAGAAGTAAAGAAAATGGGCATTCCATACCCGTACCCGAGGGAGTGGGACCTGATTCCTTATCCCCAGAAATTTAATTTGATTAACTTTACTCCTTTTGATGGCAGGGGTTCACCAACTCAGCACTTGATCTATTTCAAGTCGCATCTCGGCGCAATATCCGGGAACGAAGCCCTGATGGTCCGGTCATTCGTAGGAACCCTTCGCGGGCCTGCCTTCGATTGGTACCGACGCCTTAAGCCCGGGAGTATCACTAGCTGGGAGGATATGGAAGAACTATTCCTCACCAATTTCTTCGACGATGACACAGAGGTCTCGATTGGCACGTTATTGGATGAAAAGCAGAAGGATGGGGAATCGGTTGACGTCTTTGTCAAACGATTCCGGGACAAAGCAGTGAACTGCACGGCAGCTGTGGATGCACATCAAACGTCACAACAGCCGCCGCAACAACAACAGCAGCATTCATCCTTCCAGTTGGCACCAAATCAGAATCAACAGCCTCCGAGACAACCCAAGACTTCAGAGCCCAGATTCCCAAAGGAATACTCTTTCAAAGATGATGAAGTTCCGGTCATCTTCAAATACCTATTAGAG